AAGAAAAGAAAATTAGGCTGTGGAAGCAACAAGGTGTCCTATGAAGCAGAGAGACAAATATAGAGAAAGCTGTTTTAGAAAGACTGAACTATCCAGAAGGTCAGTGAATGTGTAGGTTCCTGACAGAGAGAACAGGTCTACAGCAGCTTTGCAGTTTAGCAGTCTCCAAAGCAATTAGGCTAAAAAGAAATCCTGAATGGTTTAATGTCAGTAAGAAAAGACTCCGAAAACAGGAACCAATGGAAGAAGTTCATTCGCATTAGCATCACTGAATTCCCCACTATCTACATTCTGGAGAGTTACCATTGACCAGAAATTGACATGGACTGATCATATACATACCGTTCCTATAAGAGCAGGTCAGAAGTTAGTAATCCTGTGGCGAGTAACTTACCTCCTGACTCACCATCTAAAGGCACAAGTCGGGAGTGTGATGGATACTCCCCACTTGCCTGGATGTGTGCAGCTCCAACAACACTCAAGAAGCTCATCATTATCCAGGACAAAGGTTGGCTTTATTGGCACCTCATCTAATCCCTTCAATATTAACTCCATTTACACAGATGCTGAAGTGGCAGCAATGTGTATTATCAACAAGATACAGTGCAATAACTCATCAAAGTTCCTTCAGCTATGCTTTCCAAACAGATACATGGGAACACCACTATCTGCAAGTTGTCCTCCATGTCACGCACCATCCTGACTTGGAACTAAATTGCCGTTGCTTTATTGTTCTTTGGTCAAAATCCTGGAACAACCTTTCTAACTGCATTGTGAGTGTTCTTGCACATTGAAGATGGCAACAGTTCAAGAATGCAGCTCTCTATTACATTTTCCAGGGCAGCTAAGGACACAAATCCCATGTACAAATAAAAAAGAGGAGTTTAAGGAATCCATATAAAGAAGATAAATGGGCTGTTTAACAGTTTGCTTAAGGGTCTCTTGAAGAAAAAAAATAACCAAAGAAAATGACATTGAGGGAATGCAAAGGTTTGTTGGAAAAAAAAGCAAGTACAGCTGTGCCAATTGAACAAGGAACTTCAAAGTGGAAACAGGGGGACCCTTCACTGATGTCTGAATATCTGTATTCTTGTTGAGGGTAAAATGATTGCATCTTTATTTATAATATGTGTAGTAAGACCGTTTCAAATAATTCCTGCATAATGAAAAAAGACCATTTTTGCTTTAGTGTCTAATAAACTTGCTTTAACTTTTATTAAAAGTATATTGGCAGCCATTTATGAATATGTTCAATAACTCAGCAACACAGTATAGAATTGACAAAAGTAAAATTTATGATCTTTTATAGTATCAAGTCAGATTTCGCGCTGGAATCTGACATTTCCAGTGTTACCATCAGCCAAGATCAACAAATGGAGGATTTTTTGGAGGCATTTAAATGGGAGTGATGGCAATTTGAATCTTAAGGAGGTATTTGCATGGAGAAAATATAGCTACTATAACAGCAGGCATTGATAGAAGAGCAGAAAATATAGAGAAAGGTGAAGAAATGGATGACATTTGCAGCAATATAGATGAGGATGTCACTGAGGTAGGTTACAGCAAGGACAGAAAAAGGTTTAAAGACATGAATTGGGAGGATGAAGTTAATTTATTGGAAAACTACTTGCACCACCAAAGACAGGATTGCTGAAAGTTACGCAGTAAGGACACAGACATGGCATTCTTAATGACTTGTAGGTTCTGGAATGAGTTAATATTCAAGGCATGGATTAGTGTTTGGTAATTACTGAGAGGGGCACTGTTGCAAGGAGACAAAAGCAACCGTAGTAAGAAGTCAGACCTGAAAAGGATGATGATGTCCTGACAATGAGATTTTTGAACTAGAAGTATCATGAAAGTTTGATGCAATTAAAATCAGGGGCACATTCGTGGTGGAAGACATTAGCTTTCTTTGCAGGATCTTAATTAGAGTCTAGAAAAAGTTATTCTTTCTGTTTTCATTGTAGCAAACACACATAGAAGCAATGTTCCCTCTAAGCTGCGCATGTGCATGGCCTCATAGCAAATATAAAGGAGCTACATGAGCTATCCCCTTTAAGATACCATGTATGCCTGGCCGCACAAAACAAAAGGTTCCAAGAATTGAACTAAACAGAGTGTGCACAACAAAGAAAATTGAGACAAGTTAATACCTATGTCTATAGTTCGATGATTAGATTATACCATACTTACAATTTTTTAAACTTGGGCCCATTTCAATTACTATTCATGTGTTAGCAATCTCTCTCTATAGAGTTGCACACTCACAAACCAAATAGTGTGATCATAATGCTGGCACCGAGCATTCTTCCTATGAGTTTTATGACAGAGGTTGATAAAAGTATGACAATTTTCTATGGATGCATGCCAATACATAGCATTATAATTATAACGCTACTTAATATTACCATCAATAACTTTTCTAATTAGTGACCAGAGCTACTGTTATAAAATTATATTACAAATCTCTTAGAATGCCTAATAAACATGGGTGCTTATTAAAAATTGTTTTTATATACCATCCATGTTGCCACTCACCACTGCCAATGTACTTCTGTGGACAAGGATTTATATAGGCAGGCTCAATTTGTTTCAGTAGAAATGACTCAAAGCAAGTTGTGTTGGTGCATGACCTTCTTCTGCATGAAAAATTATGATTTTGAAAGTGATGCATTTGTAAGTGTTTAGAGAATGTGTCTGCTCTGGTGGAATAGTTGAATGCAATCTGTCAGATATGTGATATAAGCAAGTCAGGGTTACAATAGTGGTGGGTATGGAAATAAAAGGAGAGACGATGGCCAAGTGATATTATCAATAGACTGTTAATCCAGAGATTGAGGTAGTGTTCTAGGGATAACAAGGTGCAGAGCTGAATGAACACAGCAGGCCAAGCAGCATCAGAGGAGCAGGAAAGCTAACGTTTCGGGCCTAGACCAGCTTTCCTTCTCGGGCCTAGCTTTCCTGCTCCTCTGATGCTGCTTGGCCTGCTGTGTTCATCCAGCTCTACACCTTGTTATCTCAGATTCTCCAGCATCTGCAGTTCTTACTATCTCTGAAACAAGTGTTCTAGGGACCTGGGTTTGAATCCACTATGGTAGCAGGTGGAATTTGAAATTAATAAAAATATCTGATGACTGTGACACTATTGTCAATTGTCTGGACAAAACACATCTGATTAACTGATATCCTTTAGGGAATGAAAGTGCCGTCCTTACTTGGTCTGGCCTAGTTGTGACTCCAATCCCACAGCAATATGATTGAATCAACTGTCCTCTAAACAATTAGTGTTGGGCAATAAATGATGGCCTAACCAGTGGCCTCCATATCCTGTGAATGATTGTAAAAATGAAACAGATTAGAATGAGAGATAGTAGGAACTGCAGATGCTGGATAATCCGAGACAACAAGGTGCACGGCTGGATGAACACAGCAGGCCAAGCAGCATCATAGGAGCAGAGAGGCTGACGTTTCCGGCCTAGACCCTTCATCAGAAAAGGGGGAGGGGAAGGGGGTTCTGAAATAAATAGGGAGAGAGTGGGAGGCGGATAGAAGATGGATAGAGGAGAGGATAGGTGGAGAGGAAACAAACAGGTCGAAGAGGCAGGGATGGAGCCAGTAAAGGTGAGTGTAGGTGGGGAGTTAGGAAGGGGATAGGTCAGTCCAGGGAGGACGGACAGGTCAAGGGGGCAGGATGAGGTTGGTCGGTAGGAGATGGGGGTGCGGCTTGAGGTGGGAGGAGGGGATAGGTGGGAGGAAGAACAGGTTAGGGAGGCAGGGACGAGCTGGACTGGTTTTGGGATGCGGTAGGGGGAGGGGAGATTTTGAAACTTAGACTTTCCACATCAAGCAGATGTTCACCTGCACATCTGCCAATGTGGTATACTGCATCCGTTGTACCTGGTGTGGCTTCCTCTACATCGGGGAAACCAAGCAGAGGCTCGGGGACTGCTTTGCAGAACACCTACGCTCGGTTCGCAATAAACAACTGCACCTCCCAGTCGCGAACCATTTCAGCTCCCCCTCCCATTCCTCAGACGACATGTCCATCCTGGGCCTCCTGCAGTGCCACAACGATGCCACCCGAAGGTTGCAGGAACAGCAACACATATTCCGCTTGGGAACCCTGCAGCCCAATGGTATCAATGTGGATTTCACAAGCTTCAAAATCTCCCCTCCCCCTACCGCATCCCAAAACCAGTCCAGCTCGTCCCTGCCTCCCTAACCTGTTCTTCCTCCCACCTATCCCCTCCTCCCACCTCAAGCCGCACCTCCATCTCCTACCGACCAACCTCATCCTGCCCCCTTGACCTGTCCGTCCTCCCTGGACTGACCTTTCCCCTTCCTAACTCCCCACCTACACTCACCTTTACTGGCTCCATCCCCGCCTCTTTGACCTGTTTGTTTCCTCTCCACCTATCCTCTCCTCTATCCATCTTCTATCCGCCTCCCACTCTCTCCCTATTTATTTCAGAACCCCCTTCCCCTCCCCCTTTTCTGATGAAGGGTCTAGGCCGGAAACGTCAGCCTCTCTGCTCCTATGATGCTGCTTGGCCTGCTGTGTTCATCCAGCCCTGCACCTTGTTGTCACAGATTAGAATGAAGTGTGATGCAGGCGAATAAAAAAGGTGGGTGCCTTCTTAGGATCTCTTCTGGAATATTTCAGGCAAAGAGCAACTCCTCGAGAGATACCAGCTGCATTTAACTAGCATCATCGTTGCTCAGTTGTCTGGGACCTTTAAATAGGCGTGCACCAAATAAATAGCCCTGGTAGCAATGGTTGACCACTGAATAATTATCTTGCCCTGTCGGATGCGACAGGGGTATAATAAGATTTTCAGCCAACATGTCCTTTGAAAAGACTAACGTATCATAGAGAATGATATCACCCACAAAGTAATGATCTTATCCTAATTGTACGCCTATTACCACTGATGATTCTGCTCTTTAGTTCAATTACATTTGGAGTAAAAGCAAGATAACATTTTCGAACATAAAGGTTTCCAGGATAGCTTTGCTGTTTTATTTTGTGACATGTAAAATCACAGCTGCTTTTACCTACAGTTATTCATCCTCTGCACGCCTCATTATAAAGTCTGCTAATAGTTACTCTTCATGTTTTTTCACATGTAGAGCAGAGGGAGCATTAAGTTGCGGAGGTAATGTTTCAAAACTATTAAACAGGCCAGAATTTTGCAAATGCATGACATCGCAGTAACATTTTTCTCAGCTGTTCAAAATTTCAATGCCCTTGTGGCTCTGCAGATTTCCAAGTATAGTGTTTGCTGTTTGCACAATAATTATGTACTTGTACATCTAATTCACAATAATAGATTTAATGTTAATATTAACAAAGCCTGAGGGATTCATTTAATATAGTCCATCTCTCATGAGCTTTCAGCATAAGTCTCAGCACCATAATTCATGTCAACATAGTTCACCATTCATTTCATGTTAATATTTTTCTAAAGTATTTTTCTCAAGCTATTAGCATCAAATAGAGATGCAAGTCTACAAATTAAATTGCTTTATTTTAGGCATGGGGTTTATGATTCTCAACCTGTCCGGACCTAGTCAGATTGAATTGGGAAAAATACAATATTTGTTTGCCCACGTATTCTGAATGATTATGTCACATGTTCATGTGCCTCCATCACTGCTGTTTGCTCCAGAATGCTGCCAGTGAGCTCTGCCTCAAGCAGAAGACCCTGGCAATATTTTCTACAGACCATGTGCTATAGACAGCCTGCTTGTGAATGCAAAAAAAACTTACAAAGTGAGTACCAGTGCAGACAGAGGAATCCATCATGATTGATGCAGAGTTGGAGACCTTAATAATGCAGGTGGTGGGAAGACAATTATCATAGTCTGATGGGGATTCAGGAAATCCTAAAGGAGCAGCATCCAAAAGGAAGGGAACAGGTGACGAGGAAGAGTTAATCTCTGAGTGTGGATCCCGGACCTAACAGCCTTGCCATTTTACTGTTTCACCAAGTCCTCATGACATCATGACAGTGAATAGTGCTTTTTGTGCTCAACTGAGTATTCACCCTTTCATTCCTCCCAGACCCATATTCAAAATCTCCCACCAAGTTTTTTTTTCTGGAAATTATCATTGTTATACATCTGTTAATATAATTACATTTATCAATGCCACGTTATCTGAATACAAATTCAGATAATCTGGTGGTTTCACTATTATCCTCAAACATGTCCTCTTCAGACTTGGAAGAAAACTATTTAGTGGGCTAGAAGGCAGTCATCTTGGACCCTGTTCTGAACTAGATAACCTTAATCTCTTGTATTTTTTTGTGGAGTTTGTCCTCCCTGTGAGAGCACAAACTTCTTTTTCTTCACTTATCTTGAAGCTTTAGACGTTGCATCTCTTTCTTAGGGTGTCTTCCAAGGAATTATATATGATGCATCTTCAATTTGTTTCAGTGGGTTTTTGATCTCAAAACCAACCTGGATATGTGTTGAAGTAGGTAGACTTACTACTTAAACATTTTGATCAGTTTGGATTTTCTCATTGATGGTCAGCTCTTCAATGATTACTGAAACTTCTTGCTTAAGAGATGATATGATATAATTGTGACTGGCCGGTGTTTAATCCCTACCAGCATTCAAATTAAATTGAGGCCACACCATGTCTTTTTATTCAAGAATAACAATTTCTGGTTGAGAATTGTGAATGGATTTTCTCGTAAGTGGTGTCTCCTCTGATAAAGAGTTGCTTGTAGCATACCATTAGTATTAAATCTGATGCCCCTTGAACCATGAAATTGAATTTCCATCCATTGTAAACAGTGTTTTACCAACCAAAGCTCTCAATCTGATATTGTGACACTTTTTCTCACACCTAACTTAAACTTTTTGAGATTCCTATTGACATAAATGTCAGCTTGTTCTGGGTCATCAATTGATCTTAGGCAAACTTTCGGTTTGTCATCTTTTGGAGACTGTTCTACCTCATTTATTTCTTTGTGTGGCTAGTTCTTTGGTCTTTTGCTTTTCTGAGGCTGGATCCTCCTCAGTCCATTTTCTGAATGAAGTGTTTTATTTTCCAATAAAATACTCTAAATTTTAATAGCAACGCACAGTTTATACCTATGAGGTGCATTTTTGCTCCATAGAATCAGCAAGGACTTCAAGTGCCTGGTATCCTACATACTGAATTGTTTATCTTTTGCGGTTGTGTACCTTAAGAGCTGAGTGGGTTCCAAAGTTGTTCTCTGTCAAGTTTGATCTTTTCCTCTTAGGATTGATCTGCACCTTTACTTTGTTCATCAGCTGATAGGATTTCATGAATGGTAGATCTTCTTTGGACTGTAGAAAATCTGGTAAAAGTTAATCAGCAATGATTACAACAATTCACTTTCTTATGAATTCCATCTGTCACATTACACATGACATTGGGTGTAATGTTTCAACAGTTTACCAACTTTAGCCCTTGCTTACCTGATAACAAAAAGAACCACAGAGGTCCTCTGCTTAAATTATTTTTGAAAACAGTTGTTGATTTCTTAGCATGTGACAATATACATTGATAGTTATTTTACAGTTGCCAAACTTTTTCCACTCCACATAAAATGCAACCAGAACACCTGGCATGAATCTTATTTGAAAACTAAGTCAAGAACCAAGCCAACAAAATAGTATTAGAAAATGTGATTTTGTCTTTGTTGTATTTAATAGAAAACTGTTTGTAAATAGTCAAACTATAATTGTGAAGGGAGAAGAAAAATCAATTTATGATTGCATTCAATTATTAACTTAAAACTGGTGAGAAAACAATCTATGAAAAGATGAAAGCAATTTTTCAGTTTGTTTTTTCTCTAAGGAGTTTCAATCTAAATAAAAAAAATACTAGTTACATTGGAATAAGGGATCATAGTTGAATCAACACACTTCCGAATTCTGACTTCTGAATGGACTTCTCAAATTTTAAATTTAATGTTGTTCTCACTCTTGTGCATCTTCTCTGCAGCTGTAACATTGTGTTCTTCGCTCTGTTCTATTACCCTGATGCACTTTGTATGGTATGATCTGCATGTACTGCACACAAAACCAGACTTTCGCTGTACCTAGGTACATGTGACAATAATAAATCAAATCAAATCAAAAACATTTTTGATAGTAGTTACAAATAAAATAATTATGTCAAAAGACTCATGAAGATTTGATGTATTTCTTGAGGACAATTTATAACCACACTGCAAGATGATTTAGAAAAATGCTTTCGTGATGAAGAGAAAAGATACTGACAATTTGACACAATTCAAGCAAGATTTAATGAATGGTAGTCTTAATCCATTAACACAGTGAAAGAATCAAGGTGAAAGCACTTTTAATTTATCACCATTTCTGGAAGAGAAGTTATATATCTTAACAAATTTTTCCTCAATGAAATGGTAATTAGCAGTAGCCCAAGGCCAGAAAATGTACTGAATGAGTAATCTAGTTTGACACTGTAATCCAGTCCACAGTAATGCCTCATTGTTGGAGGCATGATCGTTAGATGAGATATTCCATTATAGTGTATCTTAAGTAATTCAGATTGAAGATTTTGTACAATTTAGTCAGAGTAGGCACCTGTCTGCTCCAACTGGATTTTGCTCTCCCTGGCTTCTATGTTGCCCAGTAATTCGCAACATCTCAGGACATGGTCCTTGGGCAGGGACCTCCTGCACACTCTAGGCACAGAGATGGTTAGTGGACGCATTCCTGCCTCACCACATCAACATTATCGCTGACTCATTTAGAATATAGCTATTTAATTCAGTGCTGTTCTTTGGAGTACACCAACATATTACATTGCACTGTTGCTGCTACTGTCATCTTACCTCATCTTTTCACACTTTGCATCTTATTCAGGACACACTTAATACTTCTAACTTGCCTTGCCATTTAATACAGACACAAAGCTAGACAGCTGTCATGGTTGTCAGTAGTCATCAGTCAAGGAGGTGAACATATTGCTCTACAGCACCATGATAGACCAATGTCACACCCACAGCATGGGCCATCATTTTATGCAGCAAACAACATACATGTACTTCAACTGAATGGCAATGTCTCTTAGTTTAAAGGTAATAGACTTTGATCAAGTACAAAGAAACTGCAATCAGTCAGGGTCTACCATCACCGTGAGTCAAGAGCAATGTCTGATCCTATTCCAGAGCTCGGGTCAAGGGTTGCATACTATTGCAGTCTGGAGAGTGGGCCATGGTCAGTGCGACAGGTTCAGTGCAACCATAAGACACAGGAGCAGAAGGAGGCCATTTAACCCACTGAGTCTGATCTGCCATTCAATCAGATCCTGGCTGAGCTGATAATCTTCAACTTCACTTTCCTGCTTTTTCCCCATAACCCTTGAATCCATTAGTGATTAAAAATCTATCTACCTCAGCTTTGAACATACTTAACAAGCCAGCCTCTATAGCCCTCTATGATATAGAATTCCAAGTAGTGACTATCCTCTTCATCTAACTGGATGACCCCTTACTCTGATATAATGCCATCTGGTCCGAGACTGTCCCATCAAGGGAAAGAATATCTCTGCAGATACCCTGTCAAGCGTCCTAAGAATCTTACATGCTTCAATAAGGTTGTTTCTTACTTTTCTAAACTCAGATGAGTACAGGCCCAATCTACTCATAAGAAAATTCCTCCATACCTAGGATCAACCTAATGAACATTCTTTGGACTGCCTCCAATGCTAACATGATTTTCCTTAGAAATGGTTCACAGTATTCAAGATGTGATCTAATTTGTACATTGCATAGTTTCAGTGAGACTTCTTTATACTCCATTTCCTTTCAAATAAAGTACAACAATCCATTTGTCTTCCCTGTTATCTGTTTAACATGAATGTTAGCTTTTTGGGGTTATGCACAAGGGCTCCTAAATCCCTCTGTGCTGAAGCTTTCTGCAGTCTTTCTCCATTTAAATCATATTCAGCTCCTCTATATTTCCTGTCAAAGTACACATTATATTCCATTTGCCATGTTTTTCACACTCGCTTAACCTATGAGCCTTTGTAGATTGTGTGTCATCCTGACTACTTGCCTTCCCACTTATTTTTGTCAAACTCAAACTTGGCTACAGTGCATTCATGTCCATCATCCAAGCCTATACAGTATATATTATAAATAATTGTGGCCTCAGGCCTGATCCATAAGGCACTCCACAAGTTACAGGTTGCCATCTTGAAAATGCCCTCCTTATCCTAATGTTCTGTCTTCTATTAAGTAGTGAGTCCTCTATCCATGTTAATTTACTGTCCCAACACCATGAGCTCTTAAATTTCTAAGTAGCCTAATCAGTTGTGCCTTATCAAACACCTTCAGGGAATCCAAACATATGACATCCATTGCTTCCCATTTATCTATCACTAACTTCTAAGTGAAAACAAAAAAATGTCCTAAAACCCCCTCTAAACATTCTGCTAATTAATATATATATATATATTTATGAAGGTGTCATGACCATGTGAGGTGGAAAATTGATCTCTGTCTTTTGAAACCCCTCTTGGTCAGTCACAACAAACACTGCTTTTTTTTTTAGCATACAGCTATCACTCTTTAATTAAAATGCAATTAACTAGATCAAAGTGAAGGAACTATATTGCAAGGTTTATTGGAGTGTAAAAAGGAGGAATTTTAATCATTACTAACTTTGAAAAAATATTTTTAAATGCCACGTCAAACACAAACTAAAATAAATTTAAAAATATGAAAAAACAGAAAAGTGATAAAGTGGCTGGTATGGACAAGAAGAATGGGCTGTACAGACCTTTTATTTAGAATCTTTAGGATATTAGATTTTAAACCTGAGGCCAGTTCTTTTATTGATTTCTTGTATTCCGCACTAGTGATAACATTTGTAGTTCTTGAGTTTGCAGTGAATGAGGTTCTTACTCCTGATTCTTTCCAATTTAATTTTGCTGGCAATGTTCATGACTGGGCAGGACTTAGTACTTGAAGTACTCTGGTTAATAGGATCATGACAGTTGAAGCTAACTGAAGAAAATGAAAATGAATGGATCTTCTAGGTCAGTGTATTAACAAGACTGATTTGACAGTCTGGTAGTCATAGCCCTATTAAGTGGTAATGGAGCCTATAAATGACTAACAGCTAACAGATTCTTTATTGTCTACGTTTCATTACTTGGAAATGATAGAAATTGATTTATTTGGATGATCGATCATTTGAGTGAATCAGTTTTTCTCATTTCCAAGTAGAGTTGGCTGTTCTTGCTTCAATTTTCTGCCCACTTAGCAGCAGCAATGCTAACATGCATAGATAAACTAGGAAGTCATGTCCTGCTGGAAGTTTGTCATGTAAAGCAAAGCCCAGATCACTGCATTCAGCAAGCAAGCAGCAACAAAATCAAGGTGCACTGATCTCAACAATTTCAATTCAGTCTCTTTCTAATTAAAATTTTAATTCAGCCAATGTGCTTGCTCGTTATAATAATGGTGGAATTTTTGTACAGAATGATTTTCATTGTTATTAATTTAATGCATAGCTAGATGCTTTATATTGTTGGCTTAAATTCTATAAGTCATTTGGACGAAAAGAGTGTTGAAGAATGATACTGATTGACTATCATATCAATATAATTGTTGCTCAATATTAATTTGCAAAGAATGTAACTTCTTGTCTTGTATTGAGTCTACATATTTTGACAAAAAAATTTTAAAATCTTTAAGTTGACTTAGATAATATTAAATATCAGTTGAAATTTGTATTATCGATTAGAATAAAGTAGATTAAGTAGTGATAATAAAGCAAAATATTGCAGATGCTGGAAATCTGAAACAAACAGAGAGCTGGAAAGGCTCAGTAGTTCTGGCTGCATCTGGCAAGAGAGAACTCAGTTCTGAAGAAGGGTAAATGGGCTTAAAGTGTTAACTCTGTTTCTCTCTCCATAGAACTCTCCAGACCTGCTGGGTTTCTCTAGCTTTCTTCTGTGTGAGATTAGGTAGCAAACGTTTCTTTGCTATCATGAGAATATCTGTTAGAAAATTATACCCAAAAATGTGGAAAATGTAAGATGCCTTTTATATTGTGGACCTTGAGGAATAAAAGTTGTTTTGTAAGTATTATTGAAATAACTGGACAGAGGTCAGTATCCCATCACCAAGTCACCCTTTACTTACTTGTGCACAGTACACTGGCTATGACCAGCCAACTTTGAGTCAGTCTCCTGAACAGAGGAAATTCTAAATCCCCTGAATATATTGATTGGCCAGGGCTTTCCTGATTAGCCCAGGTTAACAATCCCAATCAAGGACCTCATAGTCAACAAGATCCAGCTGGTACCAGTCACCACAATGACAAAAATGTTTCAACAGGATATCTAAGAAAGACTCAAAACCAAAACTGGTAATTTAGCCAATGAGTGAAGTTAGGTAGATTGCAGCTTTTTTTCTTGATGTCGTTCACTCACCTGGGTTCAAATCTTGCCATGGTAAATGGTGGGATGTAAAAACACACCCCACAAGTGAATAGGAAAATATCGCGGCTGATCTTTTGACTCAACTCCCAAAGAACTGCAGATGTTGTAAATCAGGAACAAAAACAGAAGTTGCTGGAAAAGGTCAGCAGGTTTGGCAGCACCTGTGAAGAAAACATCAGAGTTAACGTTTTGGGTCTGGTGACCTTTCGTCAGAACTGACTTTCCCAGTTCTGAGAAAGGGTCACCAAACCCGAAACGTTAACTCTAATTTTTTTTTTCACAGGTACTACCAGACCTTCTGAGCTTTTCCAGCAACTTCTGTTTTTGTTCCAATTTTGGCACTGCTGCGTCACAGCACCAGGGACCCAGGTGTGATTCCATCCTCAGGTGAGTGTCTGTGTGGAGTTTGCAAATTCTCCCCATGTCTGTGTGAGTTTCCTCTGGGCGCCCCGATTTCCTCTCACAGTCCAAAGGTGTGCAGGGTAGGTGGATTGGCCATGCTAAATTGCCCATAGTGTCCGGGAATGTTTAAGTTACATGGGTTAGACATGGGAAATGCTGGGGTAGGGGATTGGGTCTGGGTGGGATGTTCTTCGAATGGCTGGTGGGGACTTGTTGGGTCGAATGGCCTGTTTCCACATGGTAGCAATTCTATGATTTCTATGAAGCAAATCAGTACAGGCAGATTCATTATTTCTGAAAAGGAAATGGGCAAGTTTTGTAACAGAAGTTTGAATGGGATTAGGGAGAAGACAGGAATAGAACTAAGTGGCTAGCTCTTGCAAGTGGAGCTTAACTGAAAAGACTCCTTCTGCACTATATACCACAAAGGGGCTGATTTTCATTGACAGTGGCTTCCTACAGGCTGTAATGTCGACTATCCTGTTTTGATTCCATGTGAGCCACACAAATTGGAATGTAAACTTCTCTACACTCCCTACCATTTTGGAAAAGCTTCAAGCAGATGGTTAAGTATTGAGCCTTTAATACACAGCTATAAGTCATTTAGGGGTTGCATCTCAGAAAGTCTTCCTGCATCTAGTAAGGCTTGGATACCAACTCAAACCCTGGAGATGCTGGTTTTCGTCAGCCTGCCTTTGGTGCAGTACTCTTACATTTTGTGGTGTGTCTAAAGTAAAATTTCACAGAGTGTCAAACTGTTCCCAATGGCAAAATTATCAAAGGCATAGATTGAAGGTAATTGGTGAAAAAAAAGGCAATGATGACATGAGGAAAAGCTCTTTCATATAGTGTGTGGTTAGGATCTGGAAGGCACTGACTGAAAATATGGTGGAGGCAGGTTAAATTGTAGCATTCAAGAAGGGACTGGATTATTAACTGAAAGAAAAATGGGCAGGGCTGTAGGAACCAAGTGAGAGAAAGGCTCAAATTAAATTGCTCCTTCAGAGAACTAGCACAGACACAACCGGCTGAAGGACCTCCATCCACGTTGCAACCATTCTGTCAATTCATGGCACGAATCCACCAAATCTTTCCAACATGCCTATAGTAGACAGTTATAGTCGGGAGATTCTTGGTCAGCCGTGTTTGATGCAGAATGATGCCCCCAGAGTTACAGCATCTGGCGTTAAGCTGGTGACTTGTCACCAAAAACATAGACAGGGAAATGGATAAAAGAATGTGTTTTGTTTGCCCTGTACACTGCTAGGCAAGGGAAAGGGACTAAAGGAAAAATGAAGGATGTCAAAGTGACTTCATTCATGTAGGCCCAGTAGGAAGTTCTATCAAAGGATCAAACCTATAACAGGGAAATATCTGCTTTTAGTGGCTTACAGGTCAAACGCATCAAAAGTTAGAAATATCTTCTCTCACAATTACAATTCTGAAAAAAAATTACTCTGCTTCTTCTTTCCGCACTCTCTCTCTCTTCAGATGCCATGTACTAAACGCTGCATAGAAATATTATGTCAAATTCTATTCTTCAGCAATTCTTTTTCTGGGTTATAACATAGTAGGAGCACATAGCTGACAAAAGATGACTTTTGGAAACCAAGAAAGAAAATGTTCCAACATAAAATTACAATCCCAACTTGTCATTGTGAAAAAATAGGTAGAAAGCAAGTATGATTACCCTCTGAGATAGTAGGAACTGCCGATGCTGGAGTCTGAGATAACAAGGTGTAGAGCTCCTGATTTCCTGCTCCTCTGATGCTGCCTGGCCTGCTGTGTTCATCCAGCTCTACACCTTGTTCTCTGTGATTACCCTCTGATGTTTTCAGAGTTTGTATACTATGTCCATTGGAAGAATGAAATGGTTCTGCAGACATTGGTTACATGCCTACTAAAAAGGAGACAAGTTATAGACTTGGTATTTATCTTCCCCAAGAGTAAAATCATAAGACGTGTATTTTGTGAGTTGGATGCCTGTCGATTGGATAGTGATGAATTTTAAACCTACGGACTGAGATCTGGGCTAAATCTTCAAGAAAGATGATCTATTAAATCCATACAAGAATTGATCAGAATTTGATCAATTTTGGAAAACCACAATGGTTGTATCATGAAATTCAGTGTATTGTACAAAAGATTGATTAAATTAAATTTGGGGATCTCTGAATCAGTACTAGAGTTTAAGCAAGAGGCAGTGGTGCAGTGATAACGTCATTGGGCTCAAAATCAGAAAATTGTCTGAAGAAGGATCCTGACCCGAAACGTCAACTTTCCTGTTCCTGTGATGCTGCCTGGCCTGCTGTGTTCTTCCAGCTCCACACTGTGTTATCTCTGACTCCAGCACCTTATTACCCCTAGACTAATGTTCTGGAGACATGGCTTTGAATCCCATCAGATCAGATGGGGAATTTTGAGTTCAACAAATATTCTGGAATAAATACTAGCCTCAGGATAACCAGTAACCACTGTTGATAGTAATGGGAAAAAAAGCTCATCTGCTTCAGTAGTTTTCTTTTGAGAAGTAAACCTTATCTGATCTGGTCTACATTTGACTCAAGAAGCAAAGCAATGTGATTGACTCTTCACGAACCTCTGGGCAATTAGAAATGAGGCAAAAAATGCTGACCTAGCCAGCAAAGTCCACATCTCATTGACATTTATTTTCAAAATACGCTAAGGTGTTCTAACCGACTGTTCTAAAAGAGGGTGAACCTGTTTGAACAGATGACTCCTCCTCTTTCAGGTAGCATGCCCTAAGAGCACCTTCTTGAAACTGGACTTCTAACGGCTCAGTCCATGATTATACCTGGCAAATTACTGCCGTGTTTTGCCATTGCTTTCTATTGGATAGCTGACCAGGGATCGCTCCTGTAGTGTTTGTAATGAGGTCAGCCAGCTGAATTATCCACATACTTATTATTCATGCCCTGTACATTCACATCCAGATCATTGATGTAAATAACAAATAACAAAGATCCCAACATTGACCCCTGTGGCACACCACTAGTCACAGGCCTCTGGTCTGAGAAACAACCTGCAACCATCACCCTCTGCTTCCTACCATCAAGCTAGTTTTGAATCCAGCTAACTAACTCTCCCTGGATTCCATGTGACCTGACTATCAAGACTAGCCTGCCGTGCAGGACCTTGTCAAAGGCCTTACTAAAGTCCGTATAGATAACATCCACTGTCCTACCCTCATCTATCCTCTTGGTTACTTCTTCAAAAATTCTAAAAGATTTGTCAGACGTGACTTTTCGTACACAAATCCATCTGATTATCCCTAATCAGACCTTGACGATTCAAATGTTGGTTGATCCTGTCCCTCAGTATTCTGTCCAATAACTTGTCTATGCTACCTTTCTTAAACATTGGAACAATATTAGCCAACCTCTAGTCTTCTGGAACTTCACCAGTGGCTAAAGATGAACCAAAAATCTCTGCAAGGGCCTCTGCAATTTCTTCCCTAGCCTCCCACAACATCCAAGGATGGACTTGATCAGGCCGAGGGGATTTATACACCTTAATGCAATCTAAGCATGCAAACACCTCCTCTCTGGTAATGTGTATGTGGTCCAGAACATCCCCACTTGTTTCCTGTATCTCCTTAGCATCCTTGATTCTCTCCTCAGTAAATGCTGATGGCCATGTTTATCTTTAAGGGGATCTATTCTCTCCCTAGTCACCCTTTTACTCTTAATATAGCTATAGTACCTCTTAGGATCATCTTCAACCTTATCTGCCAGACCCATCTCATACCCTCTTTTTGCTCTTCTGTTTTCCCTCTTACGTGCGCACCTACACTTTTTGTAGTCATCTAGGGATTCACTTAAGCTGAATAGCCTGGACCAAATGTATGCCTTTTTATTTTTCCTGACCAGAGCCTCAATATCCCTCATCAGCCGGGGATCCCTAATCCTGCCAGCATTTCCCTTCACCTTAACAGGGACGTACTGTCCCCGGATTCTTGATATCTCACTTTTAAAAACCTCTCAACTGCCAGTCATTCCTGTTCCTTCATATAGACTGACCCAATCGACTGCTGCTAGACCCTGTCTAATGGTTCCAAAATTGGCCCTGTGCCAGTTTAGCACCTTAACCTGTGGACATCTATTTTTTTTCATAACTATGTTAAAATTAAGAGGGTTATGGTCATTGGACCCAAAGTGCTCTCCAACTGATGCTTCAGTCACTTGCCCGACCTCGTTTCCTAAGAGGAGGTCCAGCGTTTCACCCTCCCGAGTCTTCTCCTGTAATGACATAAAGGGTTGAATGAGTAAGACACAAGTGATGGCAGACTTGTTAGAATGATATTTGTGGGGATAAGATGCTGAAGTGAGTAGCTGGAGGCCCA